TGTGCGTGCGTGCGTGCGTGCGTATATGTGGGTGCGTGCGTGCGTGCGAACGTGCGTATGGGCATCTATACCCATATGTCATTGATAATAAAACACATTTGTGTTGATCACTTTGCTCCTATTAAAAATGCAATGGGGTTTATCAGTCACCTATTTTTTTTTTTAAATAAGCACTGGATAAATGAAATATTGGACTGGTATTTTTGTGCAGTATAAACGTTTAGTTTGTTGACGTCAGAGAAGCATCGGATTATTGTAAATATTTTGTTACAAAATATATTTAATATAATAACTATACATAATATCTTACTCCTAATAATATAATTATACGCTTTATATAAGTGATCGTTTATGAAATGCCAATAAATGATCTATTATCTTGTAGCAAATCCTAAACTACGAATTTGAAGTGAGTAATGATTTCAGGGTTTTGACAATACCATAAATTATGTTAACAATAACCGAATATGTTGCTGCCAAAAACAAAAACAAAATCATATCCGAAAATATTTTGCCCCCTCTTCCTCCACTTCCTTCTCCTCTTCCTCCACCTAACCATCACACTGCTTCTCATGTTGCTATCACTGCTTCTCCTCCTACTCCTCGTCTTCCCTCTTCATCTTCACCAATTGCTCTCCGCGTCTGCTTCTTTTGTTAGTCTCTCTTCTCCTGCTGCTGCTGCTGCTGCTGCTGCTGCTGCTGCTGTAGCTCTAGTACTATAGCCCGCGGATAGCTGCTGCAGATAGAAGCCTGCGGCAGCTATCCGCGGGCTATAGTACTAGAGCTACTGCTGCTGCTGCTGCTTCTTCTCTTCCTTTCCATCATTATCAACATCATCCGTAATCTCTCAAAATGACGTACTGATTTATGCGAATGTTTAACTATTCTCCAATAGAAAATGATTTGTCGATTTATGCACTGCAGTGCCATCTATCTGAAAAATGGTATCCTAATATAGACGTTCTCCATGTCGTTCGACAAATGCAGAGACCATAGCAGCGACACATACGGGAATTAGGAGACAAATGACGTGAGTCCATCTACAAGTCACTTGCAAACAAACACGAACTAGCAGTCGCAGCACGAGTAACACAAAATATCCATTTGCGGTTTTTAATGAACAACTGGAATGGCTAATAATAGATTTATGTTCAACGTAAGTTATACATCGTGATGATGATCTGATGTTAGTGGTTTTGATTAAAGTTTTGGTATGATCCTGAGCACAGACGTAATCGTAATCATAATATTAATAATATTGCCTTCTTACCTAGAACTTAGAACTTAGAAGAGGTGCAAATCCACTTTAGGCACCTTATGTATCACGAAGTGATGCACAGATTTCTGTGTATCATCAACTGATGCACAGACTTTCTGTATATCAAGAAATGATGCAAAAACCCTAACCCTAACCCTAACCAGTAACCCTAACCCTAACCTTAACACACTTCGTGATACCTAAGCCTAGGTTATACTTTATGACTTAGGGTTAGGGTTAGGGTTTTTGCATCATTCCTTGATATACGGCAAGTCTGTGCATCAGTTGATGATACACAGAAATCTGTGCATCAGTTGATGATACACAGAAATCTGTGCATCACTTCGTGATACCTAAGGTGCCTAAAGTGGATTTGCGCCCTTAGAAGATAGGTGGTAGTATTACTAGTACTACCTAGTAGTAGTATTACTTAGTAGATTTTTTGTAATTTGTGCTTTATATAATTTTATGTAGTACGATTATAAACTAACGTTGTAACAACGACTGTATTTTACTTTAGGTCCAAGGGGCACCCTTGCAACCTGACCAAGATCCAGTAACGCAAGAACATTCAGACAGATCAGGAATGTTTCAGAGTCTTTCACAAATGCCACAATGTCGGCCTATGATGTGGCATGTGCAAAGACAACCACCACCTGGTAACATACATAGCTCTATCCATGTAGCCTCTTCACTCCCTAGATACCTCTGTAGTAGGAGTGAAGGAGCTGCATAGGTAGAGCTATTGGTAACACAAACATAGGGCCTATGCAGGGGTTGAAATAAGGAGAAAAAAAGAGATGGTCCACACAGGACCATCTAGTTTGAAATTTAGATGGTCCTCCTAAATTTAAAATTGTTCTCTAAAATGAATGCGGTGTGTAAGCATAAGAAAAAGATTTTACATGGTGATAGAATGGTTTAATTATTCACCTACAATGAATCTATCAAATGATACAGTAATTGTTTATTTACTTTAATAGTATATTGGAACATGAAAACTTCAAAGAAAATTACCGTAAAATGGGACCAAAATATTCAATGGTCCGTCGGACCATTGACTTTGAAAATCTGATGGTCCTCCTGATTATTTGATGGCCTGGGACCATCGGACCATCGCTTATTTCGACCCCTGTATAGTGGTATTCTTCTGAGTTGTCGCCTTGTATGTATACTTTGAATCAATTGTAATGGTATAATTTCTTGCTAATTACTACGTCAACCTTAGTGAAGAACTTGATCAAGTGCTGGACCATACATACATATACACGTACTGAGAAATGCTAATATCTGGATGATATTTTCATTTGTTTACAGGCTTTGTGGGCAGAGGACCACCATTGGAGCGACCACCTGATTTTGCTCCACCCTGCAACTGGCCGCCACCACCCATGAGGCCAATGGCTCCATTTAATCCTGTACCAGGTTTCTGGCCTCCAGGTATTCAAACGAACTACGGACCAGTCCCGCCAAAGAACTTCGCTGTACCTCCTGTGATGACTCAACAAGCTTTCACGGTATTATGCCATTGATTGCACTTTGTTTATGTGTTGTTATTTTGGTCATCGCATTCATTTTAAATCTGTTAGAACTATTGAATGATGTTGGCATTGTGTGCTCCTCGTATCAATATTCCAAGAAGAGAATTCATTCACTCATGTGTGACTATACACGAAAGTATTGGAATGCTATAATTCATGAGAAATTAGTTGTGTGGAAAAGTGTCAATGATATCTCTAAAGGAAACCTCTAAAATAAGTGCCAGAGACTGACCAACGAGTGACCGTGCACATTTATATGTTTGTCTAGGGTGCAAATTTTGACAATAATCAAGGCATCGTCGATGTTAACTATGCACCCTTACGATGTCAGCCTGGAACATATGAACAAGATCCAAGATCGCAATCAGAGCGAGTGTGGCGGGCAGAGGAGGAGAGAAGCTATGATAACCAAGGACGTGACAGGTGCTCTTGTGCATATAATGAGGAGTTTAACTATTTAAATTTTAAATTTAATTAATAACTATTATATAGATTTAATTCCATGATTTTACCAGTTATTATTAAAGTGTTGACTCGTATAAATTTAGCTTGCTAGCTCATTCATTCAGGTTGATAATACTTTTTGAATGGTGCTGTTCTTGTTCTTATTATCAAGAGCCTGAATAAAATGTAGGTTTTCCTATCTGTTGATTGTGGTCACAGTGTTGTGATGACTGATTGTTAGTTGTTGCAAATGCACATTTATAGTCAGGGGGCATACACTGTTTTCATATAACTGTTGATTTTTAGCTCATCTGACATAGTCGGATGCAGCTTGTAGAATCGCATGAGCGTGCGTCCGGCCGTGCGTCCGTCCGTCCGTCCGTGCGTCAACAGTTGGGCACAAATCTTAACCGCTTGACGTACGGTCACGATATTCGGGACGTCGGGGGGGATCGTCAAAACGATTTGGGATGTTGAAGCGGGGGGTCAAAGGTCAAAGGTCAAGAGGTGTAAATGAAGGGGGAATATTCCCTCCTTAACTTAAGGTATAGGGAGGAAATGCAGAATTGCGGCACAAATCTAACCGGCTTGACCTAGGCTCATGATAGTCGGTGTACAGCATCATGGTAGGAAAAGCCATCACTGTGCCGAAATTGGAGGTCACAGGTCAAAGGTCAATGGGGCACAGGGCAGATTTTAGACATTTTCTGAGGACATGGTCTGATGGAGCGATTGAAAAACTTTTTTGTTTCAGCAGTGACCTAGCATTTTTATGGCTTTATTGAAAGGACCATGAAATGTAATTTCTGCTGACATGCGAAGAGTAAGTGTCGGATAACTTTTTGACCCTCAAGAGGCGGGTTAAACATGGATTTCTTTACTGTTAGAAAGAATTTGACTGCCGGGTTTGCTAGTAGAATCTATACATGCCTGGATGTATGAGGCTACAATGTCACAGTGAAATTTCAAAAGCTAAATTTGGTTGAAGAAGGTTTATGCTCCTTAAATCGTATAATTTCTATGGCATTCTGTACTGTCATGTAACTTAATTATGCCACTGCCAGTGGCCACTGCCAGTGCATGTGGTGGTGATAGTACGGTGTAGTTTTTACGTGTGTTAATTAGTTACAGGTGGCAGCTCTCTATTTTAGCCTGTAGGCTTGCGTAGGTAAATGGATGAGTGCTTACCTATTCTGTCTTGCAAATAGTTGTTGCTATACTACGTAGGATGGGAGCTTCCATCTTTAATCTTAAGACACTCAAACGTACGCGCCATCTCGTGGCAACTTTCATAACGATCCCAACGAACATTTCTTCGAGAAGGTTCCTGATACCATCCCAGTGTTCGAAATAAGGGGTATCTGTTTGTCCGTACTTGTCCATTTCCATGGAGGACAAGTAGATCTGTCCGGTAGCTTGTCTGCTGGACAAGCAGCTTTTTAGAGCAATTTTTCATAATTTTCTACCATCGCTGGCCGTTGCTGGGAAACCCGAGTTAACATAGTATAAACATGGGCTGCCGGAGTGCCACCCGAATTAACATATAGTATAAACATTTATGTGAAGTTATATATAAACGTTACCGCCTTCCTAGCTCAACGAACCGTCTTGCTAGGGTTAGAAGACCATCAGGCAATCAGTCTGATAGACAATCAGACATCTGTATAGACAATCAGTCGCACAGCCTCGTCCGGCAGCGCTATACAGCCTCGAGAAAGAGAGAAATCTACATGCAGTGTACGCAACTGCGTATCTGCATATCTGCGCCTAACAAATGTGTCATTACACACGACTGAAATTTTACGTTTATAACCATAGCAACAGACCCCAGATGAGCCCAGACGCTCTGCGGCTCTTGTTTTTAGATTACATGCGGAAATTATTCGTAAATCCCTGTGTACTACCAACAAAAATCGAAATGATATCCATCAGGCATCTTGGTGCTGTGCGCGTGGTTGGAAATGTTTAGAGCATTGCATTTTAGAATTGCCATTTATTAAATTCCTGATATTGTGTCACATTTAGTGACGAAGCCAATGGTTTGTAGAGAATGGCATTTTGTTGCCTATGAAATTAGCTTACAATACAAGTTGACTTTGAGCGAAATACTTATCTATCCAGTAAAATCTTCTAACCACCCTTGCCACACTGTCAGATATAGGGGTGTTATCAGGGTCATGCCATTATCCGTTATCCGAGAATCAATACCAAAAATGAGTAAAACCTTTGTTGTACTTATTGTTTTTCAAATTTAGTTTTTATTAAAGTTTTGAAATTGCCATCTCGCACTCTAAAATGTGCAGATTCTTCTTGCTGTTGAAGTTTACAGCACAATCATCTTTACCCCTTCTATCCCTACTGGTGGTTGTGGATCTGGCAATGCTTTGCAATCATTCATTCAGCAGGAGAGACCGATCACCGAGGTCCCCGACCGAGACACGATTTGAAGATAGGGATCGTGGTCGGCGGCCCAGGGAGGACCCCGACCGTAGGCGGACGGGCAGAGATGAAGGTGGCTATGCGAGCCGTTCGCACGGTCTCCCCCGGAGCACCCCGCAGGAGTCGTCTCGAGATTCTTCCAGTGACCGTAGGAGCAGCCCGGGCATGCGGCGGCGGGAGGCGCGCCGCGACCCCGCCCGCTGCTCCTCCTCTTCCTCCTCCTCCGTGCGCGGGAACAGGCGTCGATCGCGCACTCCACCTCCGGCGCGCGAGCGACGCACCCCCGACGCGCGGAAGCAGCTTGCCGACGCCCCGCCGCAGGCGTCGGGCTCGGACGAGGAGTCGGAGACGTGGCGGCGACAGAAGACGGGCGAGGCGGCTGCGGGGGAGGCGGAGGCGACGGCGACGGCAACGGCAACGGCGACGGTGGTGGGCGTGGCGGACGTGCGCACTCGGCTCGAGGATGAGGATGAGCTGATGTACGAGGAGTACTGGCGTCTGCACGACATGATGACTCAGCGCGAGCACGTGCCGCCGCACGACGAGGCCACCTGGCAACGCTGCTCACCCGCCGACCTGTTCTTCAAGCGCAGCAAGGAGGTATCTCTCTCTCTCTCTCTCTCTCTCTCTCTCTCTCTCTCTCTCTCTCTCTCTCTCGTCTCTCTCTCTCTCTCTCTCTCGCCACTCTCTTCTCTCTCATTCTCATGTCTGACGACATGGGGACACGTTGTTAGAAATGTCCTTATATTGTGTCTTAATGTCCTAAGTCTAGAATGTCATAACTTTTGCACGGCGCTTCGTTTAAAATGTTATGACATTTTAGATTTGTGATGTCCTAATTATGTATGATGCGTGACAGACTGACAGTGGGCCATTGGTTTACGCAAACACCTTTTCTACACCAATGTCGATGGTTAAAATAAAAATCGAAATAAAATTGACTGTGATCAAAAAGCCGCAACGAAATATTGTGAAACAGGAATTGCACTATGTTGTACGTATGCTCCTATTGTCCTCAATATCGGAGCATTATATGTTATTTTCATTAGCAGATAAACGTTTTTTATTGTTAGAGGACGCTAAAAAATAGTGACGTCTACTTCATTCTAATTTAAGTTTTAATTTTTGACATCAGTGGCTCCATAAACCAACTTGTAAAAAATAAAAGACCTAATGCCAGTTTGGAAGTGAAGCAGTGAAATACTTAATTAGCATGTAAAGCTAATGCCAGTAAGAACTAGATACGTGCCTTGCTCTGCAGTCTCAAATGCAAGATAAGTTACGTCATTGTTCCCTTTTTTGTGTATTATGAAGAGCAACTTTATTCACACTCTTCTTCATTTTCGTCTTCTCAGTCACATTGTCTACGATCGTTGTTTTTGTCATGTAATGCTCTGCTGTTGTGAACACGGTTCATCTTATCTTCAGCAACCTCGGGTAACAGTTGCCAGCAAGAGACTGCAAGAGCTTTACAGGAAGTTTGAGGCAGATCTAGTGCTGAGAGCCGAGAGGGTGCGGACATCGAAACCTTTGTACGATCCTCTAGCAAAAAGCATGGCCGCGCCCCAGCACAATTCTGAGCGGACGTGTTGTGGTAAATGTAAGCCATGTGATATGCTGATTCCTCTTCTCTCTCTCCCTTTCTTTCACTCTCTTTCCATCTCCCTCTCTCTCTCCCTATCCCTCCTTCCCTCTCTCACCATTCTCTCACTCTTTCTCTCTCTCCTCCTCTTTTTCTGTCTGCCCTCTCCTTCCTCCCCCTACTGCATTCTCTCATCCCCCATTCCTCTTTTTTTTCTCACTCTCTCAATCCCTTCCTCCACCCCTCTGTCTTTTTTGCTTTCTCTCACTCATTAATGCACTTACACATTCACTAAATATCTCACTCACTCACTTACTCATCCACCCACCCACCCACTCACTCACTCGCTCACTCACTCACTCTGACCTACTCGCTCACTAAATCATTTACTCCTGCCATTAGATGCCAAGTCAAGCTCAAGCTCGTCATCATCGTCGTCGTCGTCATCGATGTCGGACAGTGAGGATGAGGTGGATGAACTGACCACTTCTTGGCAGGAGTTGGAACATAAGAAGAAGCACCCACACCGACTGCATCAGGAGCTGTGGTTCAACGACCCTGGAGAGGTATCTCTGAACTGCTTCTATTACACACAACGCGAGGAGTGCTTATAACAGTCTACCGAGTAGATACTCATTTTAAACTCCGCTTGCAAACATCAGTATTGTCATATCTGCCACGTTTTTGGTACCGTCTGGGTGATGTGTTCCCTTGTTTGCTTACAGATGAATGATGGGCCGGTGTGTCGCTGTAGCTTGAAGTCGAGAAAGACTGGGATCCGACATGGAATATATCCAGGGGAGGAGGTATGCTCAGTCTGGATCTAATTAATTGATTTAGATTAGTTTTTAATAAATCTTTTTTTCCTGTAGGTGAGTTCTTCGGGAATATATTCTTTAAACATATCTTTTCGATTCTAAAGATGTAGGCGTATGTTTTGGGATTGTGGGAAACCTTCATGGTAGTATATGCCCAGGATATAAAGTGATACTATCGTACTCATTGACGTTACAGCCTGTGACAGCCTGCGACCCAGAAACGAACAATGGTGATCGTTTGTATCACTACAGGATCACTGTGTCCCCGCATACAAACTTTCTCACGAAAAGCCCCACGGTCATAACACACGACGACCATGAATATATGTTTGAGGGCTTCTCACTCTTCTCACACTATAAGTTTGAACAGGTAGGCAGATCTTGTGTCACTCTCGTAAGATTGAATCGAACGTGCTCGTTTTTGGAAACCATGGGCTCTCCTCTGAGAATGGAAGAATTGCTCACCAGTTCTCGTGAGAAAGACTGTACATAGAACAACATGATAAAAATAACACGTGACATTGATAGAGACATAGATGTATTATTAAACACACAAAGTTGATAATGGCATGCAGAGATATGCAGATATATATAGCAGAGAGAGATGATAATTCTTTGCTAATTACTTTATAAATTTTTTTATAAAATCTCTACCTAACTGTATTCATTATATTTTTTTATATAATTATTTTACATACTTAGAATAATAAATTGAAATGTACAAGTTTAAATTGAATTGTACAATTTTTACGAGTGGGGACCTTCTTGATTTACCCCCAGATTCCCGCATGCAAGTTGATGCGTTTTAACATCGAGTACACGATCCATTGGTTCGAGGAGAGCGTACCGGAGAACTACACAGTCGCTGGCCTCGACCTCTTCACCGACTACCTGTTTCGCGAGGTGCTCGAGCTGCTAGACTGGGAACTCATTGGGCAGCCTACCGAGGGCCGGTGCCGCCCATTCCACCTCATGCCCAGATTCGTGCGAGGGCTGGAAGGTATCGTCTCTGCCACGACCTGGCGTGCATTCCATGCCGACCCCCCGATCTCATCAGTAAATCTATTTCGCAGAGGAATTGACCAATCGACCTGGGATGCTTGACAGGAAGTCATCACTACCGACATTGTGATAGGATATTCTAGAAACAATGCTTAGTTATCACTTTGCGCAACGACAACTAATTTCCGTGTGTTGCGTACAGATTGGGTTAGCTTAGTCAACCTAGCAAGAGTGCTGGCATGGCTATCTCTCGGCTGAATAGGTCGCTTGGTACCTCTTGTGATTGGGAACTCGTAAAGTAATGTGAACCTGAACAAGGAGAACACTCTGTCTGTTTGATTAGTTGTAAAAGCTTTCTTTGTAAACTTGTACAAATATTTCTATGTAAAAACACTCCAAACCTTTTGGAACAGATGGAAGTTATATTTTTTCTGTTAAGTAGGAACTCTATATATCTCCAAAAGTAGTTTCTGAATATGTCTAAATCTCACAGTAATTTATACATATTTTAGTAAGTGATTTACAAATTTTTTATATTTTAAAGTACTTTTTTTTTCTTTTAGATAATGGAAAAGAAATTCTTTCAAGGACGGAAGTTTTTGAGTATCTGCAAAAGACCTCACGCCCCCTAGTAGAGGAAA